AGATGAGGCTCTGGGTGCCTCAGCATCCTTTCAGAGTGTGTAGTCTTATTGGTGCCTTGTTTGACGTTGTTTGGCTGATAGAAAGGACCGTTCCTTATAATTGAATAATAAAAGATTGGAAAGGTGTAGATAAGGTCGACGTGTCCGTTTAATTAATCTAATCATTCCAAAAATAGATCAGCCTCATGCTCTCGATGGATTGGTAAGAAAAAAGATAATATTAGGCTGATGTTGATGAAAGACTCAACTGAAACTCGGTTGGATCATTCTTTTTTAATATTCCTCAATTGATGAACCACTTCTAACTTATGAGTCCTAAACCGGTAGCAGGGTGTTTAGGAGAATTCGGAAAAGGATCTAGAATAATACGAAATTAAGGGTGACCGTGACTAATTAACTTGTGTTTTATCCTCTGAGGTGTCACCCACCCACTCGCGCAAGTGCAAATGGGTCATTTCGAGGTCCAGTCATATGTTTCAATATGTACGAAATACAAGTATGTATAAATTAGCCGATCCATCTATGAAGGATAAGTGAAATAAGGATGTTGCTCGTGCGTCAACCGATTCAAAATCAGTGTTTGAGTCTGTCCTAAATAGATATGTCCCCCGGCCCGAATCTCACTGTTCACTTTGTTCACTGGCCATCATTTTGGATGAAACAAAAAAGCGTTATTGGATTAGCTATTTGTTTGTTGTAAAATCCAATGGATATCTGGGAACAGCAAACGACTTTTAGTATAAGATCACATGGGGTAGGGTGTTAATTAATCCTCAATTGCATAAGACTGTGTAAAATAACGTCCCATAGCACTGAAAACCACACCCGGCTTTGCGTGAGCTGCTTTTTTCCGACAATGCGTGGATTTCGGGCGCCTTTTAGCGATAGATCTGACTTGAATGCCGACTACCCAAATCATACTTTTGTGTTTATAGTTCAGCAAAATAGTTGATTTTGGTAGTCAGTCACTTCGGTAATCAGTCACAACTTATAGACTTATGGATCGATAAAATTCCGGTTTCACCCCTATTTCAAATGACACCGACAGAATAAAAATCTATTAGAGTTCTAAACGCCAGCCATCCAAGTTGATAGAGCTAGCGCACGCAAAGGAATCCAATTTTACCTTGGGGTTTTGTAAGCCTGATTTTATGTAAAATTAATGCTGCCAAAACAAAAGATAGTATGAGAATTCTCACCTGTTCAACTGTTCTTTTTCTTCCTTCACGTGTGCAGCTTGAACTTGAACCGATTCTAGTTCAGTTTGGACCTGCTGTCTTCGTAAAAATGCCTCTCTATCTTCTGTCCTCGTCACTGAAATAATTCGCTCCTGAAGCTGTTGTTCGCGTTCCGTCAAGTTGGACAGACGTGCACGAAACTCCTGTTCCAACTGAAAAGTTGACAGCGAGTCGAAGTTAAAATGAGAAAAAAACAAATAATTCTGACTCGTTTACTGACTACCAAATTTCAGATGAGACAGAGGCATTCAAGCTTAGTCAAGACATACAAATGTGGTAAATTCGTAAGATAGATCCCTCTGAAGAATCACTTCGCACAGACAGTTTGACCAAACCTCTATCGTCAGGAAATACTTCCCAGGTGAATACCTCGAGATAGTCCATCCCCAAAAGATATTAAAAAGCTATCTTACTGTGTGGTTATTCCATTCATGAAACTAGTATATTGCAACCAAAACTAGGTAGTTATTTATCTTTTTTGGTGTAGCTTCGTCAGTGAAATTTTCGTTATTCACGAAAGATAAAGTTGGTTTGCTTGAGCCCAAATTGGACTGTTTCCGAGAAATACACTCATTTGCAAATCCATTTGGGGACTGCGCCTCCCTGATGAGCCCCAAGAAGGGCGAAACCGGTCGTGGGCTGTCGAGGAGTTTTCAGAAACCTTATGAGTAGTTTTTTTATGGAAATATACTGCGATAACTCTACTATCGTACCAACTGAAACATGAGGCGGCCTGTGTGCAGTACATTCAGTTGTAGAATATCATAAACGAGAGATTCAGTTGAGTCTCCCGTGAAAACCAAGTTGATTTGCAAATGGGTGTGTTTCTCCAATGAAGTTGGTCTGTTTATTGACGATGATGATGTGCCTTCTCACAACTCGTGAAGATCCCATTGGAGGAAAAATAACTTTGTCCGCCAACACTGATACTTTTGAGGTGGTATTCTGCAAACTTCTCAGTGACCTTTAAGAAAACTGACCGCTTTTCGCAAGACACGTGCGCAGACTCAGGTCCCAAGACACAACCTGGAATCCCAGTGGATCGTTAAAATATTCAGTCCAGCGATACCTATTGTCCCGGAATAGCAAAATAAACTTGGAATCGGGTCTAAATCAGCACAGAATAGCAAAATAAAATTGGAATCGGGTCTAAATCAGCGTGGATCTGATCTCCAATCGCAGCAAGGGTTCTGAATCACAGTGGAACCAGCCAATCGTATTGCAGAAGCCAGTCAGTGAAGTAAGGAAAACAACACTTTTGAGGCGAAATTGTCAACGGCGGCAATTCTAATCAATTCTGTTCTTCATGAGCTTTCTCATATGAACGATGCGGTCAAGGTGCCAGTACGCATGCAGAACATTTATGTTCATCTCAGGTTGAAGTAAGTCATCCTGACGGTCCAGATAACCTGTCAAAGAGATAATTAGTGACAAGGGGTCGCAGATCGCAAACAAATTCTGCCTAACGGCAAGCCACCTTAGAAGTAAACCAGTGAGAGTTGTAGGCATCAAAATCACGAAGAATAATGCTTTTCTTCAGGCTCAGTGCCGTTCCACGTGGTCTTTCAATGTTTCACGGGCTTATACCTATCAAACTCGAAGTGAAAACTGAGTATTTGTTCCAAAAATTAACCTCTCGGTCTTTTATTTAAAACCAATGTAAGGGGGTAAAAATGATGTACTCAGTCGAATCTCTTGGTACCATTCAGTCAGGTATCTGAAGATATGGGACACAACTCCTTCTCGAATAGAAGTAACCAGGCCTAGACTATATGTCGCCGAAAAGTTTTGAACCTGGTACTTAGTATGGCGCTGTTGTACGACAGGCTAAAGTAACTAGATAAAGGGCGGTAAAAAACACTTTGTTGTTATTGTAACTGCTCTTCAGAGTCTTATTAGGGATTGATAGATAGGTAGATAGATAGATAGCTTCAAAATAGAATATTTCCATCTAACTTGTTGGCGTCGTTCCTGAAAGGCGTCTTCTTTCTCCTGCTCCACTTCCATCCGAAGTTGCACAAGCTGCAGTTGTCGGAATTCGGCCATCTGAAATCAGAGTAAAACGCAGAAAGAAAAACAACCCAAAAGACTGGCTCCGTAACTGATTCTCAAAAGGCTGTTAGATCAAAAACCTCTCAGAGACTCACCTGCCTTTGGAGTTCGATTTTCGCCTCTTGTGCAACCTCCTTACGAATAAAACGCAGAAAACAACCCAAAAGACTGGCTCCGTAACTGATTCTCAAAAGGCTGTTAGATCAAAAACCTCTCAGAGACTCACCTGCCTTGCCTTTGCATCAGTCAAGGCCGTATAAATGACCTTGAGCTGAAATTATTCCTAGCAAGCTTCCATCACAAAGCATTTCTAGTAAAGACACTAAAGAAAAGACCCTACTAGTTCTCAAACTTTTCATAAATTTGTCTTCTGTCACAAGGTATGATCACGTTCTCACAGCTATTTACGTGTTGCGTCCACTGTCGACGAATGCAGACGAGCCTTTTGGGCGAGGTGATGAACTTAATGGCTTCATCGCTGAAAACCATCTTTCAAGCAGCCTTTGAGACAATTTCAGGGTCAAAAATGATGAATTGGACAAGCAATCGCAAGCAAATCATAGACGCTGCTGATCAGACTTCAACTCAGATTATAAAGTGAGCGTTCGATGACCTGTTCAGTTATAAACCAGTAGCCCCTCTGCTGGTGATGGATGAATGCCGAAAGACCTCAAAAGCAATCTAGTCACTTCCTTTGATTATCAGCTTGCTTATCAGCTGATTAGCAGCTTCATTGTCTTCTAACCCTTTCAAGGACAAACTAATTGGGTCCGGTATTTGTTAAATCCCCGCTTCTAGTTAATATGGAGGTCCTCCTTATCGCGTCCTCCTTTCAAATGTTCAGGTGGTTTGATTCACAAACAAATCATCTGGCACCACTTGTAGCAGAGATTCAACCAATAAGTCTCACCCTACTGGAATATTTTTATTTTCACATTTCTTTGCCAAGCCCAAAAACGCTGTTCCTCGTTTTTCGAAATGGATGTTCAATAAATTATCCTTCAGCATAAGACCGGTTGAATATTGATCCCAATGAACGCCAAATTTTGAATCCATTTGATCCATTTTGAATCCAACTATGTACTAATCAATATGTGGGTGGCACTGTCCGATACACTCTCTAGCTATAAAAAAAGAAGCATCGAAGTTTTTCAGACCTGGAAGTTGACCAGTTTGCATCCATCAAGTTATTTACTTCCCAACCAATTAATCAGTTCTACTAAATCTGAGGGATGCACTCGTCCGCAGGCCGAATTCTACCATTCTGTTAATTGGAGTCCTCAACTAACTGAAGGAAATTCTGATA